CCGGGGCTCTTACTCAGCTCTTTCACCGCCTGGATCACCTCATCTTTTCTAATCTCACCGAGAAGGAAATCAAATTCTTGGATGTTGTACGGAGGGATTGTTCCCAACAGAGTTTTAACACAGTCCGTTTCAATGTCTATTTTTTTGTATGCTTCAGAACATAAATCTCTTATCACTTCTCGTTTCTGTTTTTCATTATACACAATGCAACCTTCTATGAACTGTTACCACAGCCAGTCTCTAACTTCCAACATAATCCACCAAAATGTGAATATCAGACCCTCTGCAGACCTCCTGAATGTTGTACTTCGAGTGCTTGACTCTGTATCGATTTACCTTCTTAAAGAATAAACTCCCTAAAAGACTGTCTTATTCCAAGAATCTTCATTTCAGTATAACGGAAAGGTTTCCTCACCATTTTATTATCATTTGTTAGTTTGTCTCGGTACATTTCCACCACAATTTGGCATGACGAACAGGATCCTTGAAAGACCGTCAAAGACAGAACATCTCCACCACACAATGTTTTTTATTTTGTATTCTACTAAATCATCCAAAGAAGAAAAAAAGTATAATTCATACAAACAAAGATAAACAAAACTAGTAGAAGTGGGAGGGCTGAAGCATAGCTTATGGGAAGTAGCCCTCCCGTGAATCATCCTAATAAACATTGGCATTATTGCGTCAACAATTTGTATAGAAATTAAGAGTTCAAAGAAATAAAGAAAACTGGAGAAAAAATAAATGAAAGTTAGGCCAAAAAAAAATAAATGCATATAAATATATGAAAACTAGATATAGGTTATTGTTCTGCACAAGTCAATAGCAGTTGACTATCTTTTTTGAAAATGAAAATACTATATATACATATATACACTGAACAAAAATATAAATGCAACACTTTTGTTTTTTCTCCCATTTCTCATGAGATGAACTCAAAGATCTAAAACATTTTCTATAAACACAAAATAACCATTTCTCTCAAATATTGTTCACAAATCTGAAAAAATCTGTGATAGTGAGCACTTCTCCTTTGCCCAGATAATCCATCCCACCTCACAGGTGTGGCATATCAAGATGCTGATTAGACAGCATGATTATTGCACAGGTGTGCCTTAGGCTGGCCACAATAAAAGGCCACTCTGAAACGTGCAGTTTTGCTTTATTGGGGGGGTCTGGGGGGGTCCGAAAACCAGTCAGTATCTGGTGTGAGGGGTAGGGTTAGGGTTAGGTTGGGGAAGAGCGCAGGGCCCATGCGTGGTGCACTGGCTCTCGGTAGATAGGTGTTTAAAAAAACATTAAAAACCTCCATAAACATAAACCTTATAAAAACCCTTTAAAAAGCATCATAAAAGCTTCGTAAGGACAAGACCGTTTCAAAAGAATGGTGCAGAGCGGAGCCGGACCACGGAACGGCGGCAGAGTATGTTAAAAAGCAGATCTCCCCATCCCAGAATCTGGAGGGTGGTGTGTGTGTGTGTGTGTGTGTGTTCAACAACAAGGCAACTCAAACTGCTTCACAAAAATATTACATTAAGACAATGTGCAAAAGAAACACATTATAAAATCACTTATGAATACATTAAAAACATTCATCAACTAGCCAAGTGTGAAACAGTTGATTACTGGGAGATTATTTCAGACATTAAAGTCATGTAAAGTCACAATAAGTGATCCACATGTTAGCTGAAGTGAAGCCTTCTCTATATAGAACATGTAATCGTCAGGACTGGAAGATTTGACAGAGAACACAGAGACACTGAGGAGTTATAGAACAATAACCTAAGCCCAGTCACAATGCTTCTTGGCAATACAACGTATACCGTTGCAAACCCTGTTCTCTTACCTTTCCAATGGTGCCACATGTGTGAGGAACATGCATTTGTGGGATGAGCAGCAGAGCTGAGTCTGTGGGTTGCGCCCATGAACAATGTGACAAATCTATGAGCATCTCTCTCTCGGAGATCAGTCCCCGTCCTCCTTTGGTTCCTGACGGTCTTTCAAGGATCCTGTTCGTGAGGCCAACCTGTGGTGGAAATGTACCGAGACAAACTAACAAATAATAATAACATGGTGAGGAAACCTTTCCGTTATACTGAAATGAAGATTCTTGGAGAAAGACGGTGTTTTAGGAAGTTTATTTGAGCCAGAAGGTAAATCGTTACAGAGTCAAGCAGTCTGCATCAGAAGGTCTGCAGAGGGTCTTTGATTCACATTTTCACACCAAGAATAGAAGAGGAGGGGCTGAGATAGATAAAAAGATAAACATGCCATATATAGGATTATTTTAAACACACCTGCTAGCAAACAGAGAAACATCATGTCAACACTCCAAGAGCACTAACCTTTCTAGAACACATGGTGAGCTTTGAACGCTCCCTCAGGGTGATAACACGTTCCATCACACTCCACTCTTCTGATCATATTACATATTGATCACAAACATTTTCCATTACATGTGTTTAACCGTGTTACATCCTAACAGATTCCTTATTGGGCGTTACAAAGATAATCAACCTCTGTGTTTTTAAATATTGAAATGTTCTCCATTCATCTTTATATATCTAATGACACAACTTTACACTATGACAACGTTGAATGGAGTAACAACGGATAGTTTAAGTCTGATCATTATCACTGTTGGAAGATGGCTGCATTGATCCCTTCTCACTTAATGCTCTTAAAGGTGGGGTAGGTATTTTGGAGGAACCAGCTCGAGTGCGCTAGAATTTGAAAATACACAACCGGAAAAAATCTGCCACTTCCTTACAGAGCCCCTCCTCCAACACACACGAACGCGCACATGACCAATGAGGGCACGAGATGAGTTTGTGCCCAGATGGAAGGCTGACAGGCAGGTAGGCCATCCAGTTACTTTAGCCGGCTCAGATGATTGGTCGTGCTTTTTACAGCGCCACGGCTTCCAGAGGTGATGTTTGTATGGATTTGTTGTCAAAGCACTTCAGATATTCATTGCTATCGGATGTTAAGAGCATTCCATGGAATATAACAACAAGTGTATCTCGAGCCGGTTTCTCAAACTTACCTACCCCACCTTTAACTTCAGAGTATTAAGAGTTTAAATAAAAGCCTCTCAGTTGATTGGAGCAGTCGGACCAGTTCAGCCACTCCCTGCATGTTTCACTGATGATCTCAGATTACAATCAAACTGATGCCAAAAACTGCCTCCATTACAAGGAACTCTTCATGAATCCCTCTCCAGTTATCAGACATGTTGCATTTCTTCATTTCCTCTCACTGACCGGCATTCAGTCATTACCACATTGATGTTGGTGCTCTGCCCGTTGATACTGAACCCTAAGTTGCTCCATGGCCAAGAGTGTGTGAGTGTGTGTGTGTGTGTGTGTGTGTGTGTGTGTGTGTGTGTGTGTGTGAGAGAGTGTGTGTGTGTGTGTCCCTTATGGGGACAAATTGGAGGTCCCCATAAGGGGAATCATTCATTTTAGGGTGAAGACTTGGTTAGGTTTAGGATTAGGTTAAGGGTTAGGCATATGTTGGTTATGGTTAAGGTTAGGATAAGTCTCCAGGAAATGCATGTAAGTCAATGTAATGTCCCCTGAAGTGATGTATACATGGTATGCGTGTGTGTGTGTGTGTGAGTATGTGTGAGTGTGTGTGTGTGTGTGTGTGTGTGTGTGAGGGTTAGCTTCCCAAGAGCAAGTGGTGCTGCTCTGCATGAATGAGGTGTTGAGTGGGTAGGCGTGTGGAGTAGTGGGTTGTGCGTTGGTGTTCGGATCAGGGGGTTACAGGTTCAAACCCCACTGCAGTCAGCATGTCGTTGTGTCCCTGAGACCCTTCACCCCAAATTGCTCCTGTGGGGATTTCCCACAGTGTTGAGTATGTACGTCGCTTTGGATAAACGCATCTAACAAGTAACATGTAATGTAATGTGTATACTGGCCTCGCCAAAATCTCCTTCTCGGTTAACCAGCGAGATAAACACTCTCACAAAGTAAAACTCAGGACCACGAGGTGATGTTTTGAAGCTTTACTAAGCAAGCAGTGTGAAACTGAAGGAATACAGAAACAAGAGCAATTGTAAATATCAGCTACATGACATAATAATTATATATACTGTACATAGGGTTAGGGTTAGGGTTAAATGGACTCTAAATAACCCCAATGAACAATAACAATCCACCACACCTTGAACTTTAAGTTATATGTCTTTGCCTTGTGCTGTGTGTTGTACTTTTTATTGTCTGTTTATTGTATGTTGAATTATATGGAACAAGCTGTAATACTCTGCACTGAACACGAATTCCACCAGCCTGGCTGTGTGGTCATTAAAGATTCTAATCTAATCTAGATAGATATCCCAGACAGCATGAAATTAGGTCAGTGCCAATGTACAGATGCAATGTTTAGGCTATATTGCATATACAGCAACTACAAAATGTCAGCTGGGATCAAATATCACAATAATGCACTCAAGGTAAAGATACATATAATGTAGAAACATAAAAACTTACAGGAAATGCCTTCTCAAGGGCTATGAATGATGGATGGCACAGGATAAACAGACATCAACTTCGCTGGAGCACACATGCTATTCTGAAATGTCTCAGCTAACTTCCTGTCACATGGGAACTAAAAAGAACTGCTTCATGCAGTACGGGAAGTCACCAGAAGGAGTCACTATAACACACAAAATAACAAGGTGTGAATGGCTCGTAGTTTGTAAAGAGCTTTGAGGGGTCGAAGAGACCTGATAAAGAGCTTTATAAGAACTTGACATTTGTCCTGCTTGATGTTCCAGGTGGACGAGAGGAGTTGGCAAATACTCGAAAAGAGCTTTAAATATTCATTTTCCATGCAGTTCATTGGCTGTAACTTCCCTGCATCTCAGCGAGCATCAAGCACTTCTAACAGCTTTTACGTTAAGTTAGACCTTTGTAACAATTTAAAACTATTTACATGTTTTGAAAAATGTTGGGTGAAAAAAACACTAGTTGAATTCATGAGATCATTGACACATGTTTTGTCTTCAAACCTTTATTGAACAATGAATACATCGATTATTAGCAGCTATTAGATGCTGCTCCAAACAAAGCGTTATTAAACTGAATATAAGTCACATTGGTTTGAACACAACTAGCTCAACGCCAAGGAGATCATTTCACTATTTTTAGGAAGAGATCTAATATTTCTTCCAGCAAAGGAAAGGCAAGTTTAACTTTACATCACATTCAACAACAAAGCAATTAAAAATACTTTACAAAAATATTAAAATGTGTAATTACTGGGAGATTGTTTCAGACGGTTAGGTCGACCTATGAGCGGTCGACCAACAGTAAGGAGGCAGAACATCCAGCCAACTGTCAGCGTGGGCATTTATTTACACTATTCACTATATTTACACCTATTTACAAGGGCATGGCAAACAGCCAGGCCTGCTGAACTCTGCAACACCACCGACTGTAACCAACCTGTACCAACCCAACAATGGCACTAAGAGCCTTTATAGCCCCACTATTTAGGAGGTACCATTGCTTACAATTAAGATGAAGACGTTAAACAATGACAAACATTACTGCAAAATAACAAACAAGCATTAAATAATTCTTATGTATTACACTTTCAAAAATAATTGATGCTGACATTGTCAGCCCACTGACATGATTTGAAATCAATATATTATCCAATGTGTGACCCCCCACAGGACTGAAAAAGCACCCAACTAGATCATGAAAATCCCAAAAATCTCGGGGTGTATCCCCCGAACCCCCCTAACATGTTTGGACCTCGGTATTTAGGAAATCCTGGATACGGCCCTGCTCACGCTATATATGTGTATTCAATTATAAGGTTAACAAACTGCATTTGTAACAAGAAACATATGTTTTAAATCTTACTTATTGTATTATTGCCTATATATATTTTCCTGCGACCCAGGAATGCATATCCAATGTTCATATGTGTTGCAACCAATGTGCTTCACCAATGAGGAAGCTAATGGAGTCTGAGATCTATATGTCTCCTAAGATCCTCTCCGTTACACAGACATACAGAGCAGAAAAACTAAATGCCTCTTCAATTACGCACAATCATTGAAACAAATGTTAACCAAGGTGAAGCCTTCTGTACAACATTTAAACCACTTCTCCTACAGAGAACACAGAGACACTGAGGAGTCATGTGACCAGATCCGAAACCCAGCATACAGAGGTTCAGTGAATGTGGTTCTGAAGGTGTGGAGGTGGGTCAGTGTGTCAGAGGAGACTCTGTAGAAGGAGAGAGAGCCAGCAGGATGATCCAGATACACTGCTACTCTACCAGAGGAGGAGGAGGAGGAGGAGGAGGAGGGGGAAGAGGAGGGGGAGGATAAGAAACGGGAGTAGAGGGAGGAGAGAGAGGAGAGAGAGGAGAGAGAGGAGATGGAGGAAAGAGAGGAGAGGGAAGAGGAGGGGGAGGATAAGAAACGGGAGTAGAGGGAGGAGAGAGAGGAGAGAGAGGAGAGAGAGAGGAGGAGCAGGAGGAGAGGAATGTTCTTCTCTTATTGTGCTTGACAGAGTAACGACCACCAGAGCAGCTCAGACTCCAGGACTGATCATTGCATCCAAACCAACAGTCCCCCCTGCCTCCTTTCCTCCTGATTCCTCTGTAAGTCACTGCTATGTCAACCCCTCCTCTCCACTCGACCTCCCAGTAGCAGCGACCAGTCAGAGCTTCTCTACACATCAGCTGATGATAGAAGCCAAACCTCTCTGGATGATCAGGGTATGGCTGCTTCTCTCTCACACGTGTCACCGTCCTGTTGTTGTCAGACAGTTTGAGGTTTCTTTGTGCTGTGTTTGTGTCCAGCTCCAGTTCACAGGCATCTGATGGAGAGAAAGACACAGCAGCAGTTCAGGGTGTCCGCAGGGTCTTAAAAAGTATTAAAAGTTGATAAATCAATTTAGCGCAAATTAAGGCTATTAAAAGTATTAAACGGCATTTTCCAAGGTATTAAGAAGGTCCACAGCAACGACAACAACATGAAACACCCTTTAATTTACTGAAACAACATCTCTGGAAACCCCCTCAAGGTGGCCCCATGCATAGCGCGCCATACAATGCTGCTTCTTATTTTAAGTTTCGTTTCGGGGGGAACACACTGCAGTTCATACATGGGCCGCTAGGGACTGGCTGCAGAAAGGAGCAATTTCCATAGACCCCCATGTTAAAATGCCCAACTTTACAGCAGAAAAAAACATGTTTCTACCCATGGATGCAATAAATATTATTATCGATATAGTTAGATTCCACCTTCATGATTATTAATCTGTGAGTGAATTGTTTTCTAACACGACCCTTTTATTTATATTAGGTCTTAAAGTTTTTGCATAAATTAGGGCGTGGTCACGTTGATGGGCACGTACATGCCTCACTGTCAGCTAACAGCAACTTGTCCACTCTGCTAGGCTACAACCATAGAGGCTACAACGTTAGTTAGTCATAGTACTGTACTTGACCCTTTAGCCGTGTTCGTGGTGATTGTGCCTTTTAGGGAATATTGTTACAAATACCAGACAATTAAAATGTTGTGCTGTGCGCTTGAATGTACTAACAGAACTTCCAAGAAGTCTAAAATGATAATATTATACATGTTAACCCCGTTCGCAGGTGTTTGTGTGCTTGGTAGCTTAGCTTGTTACTTATTAGCCAGCTAAGGACGTAACCCTTTATGCATACATATACATTTTAGTTTATGATTCAGCCTTGGGTAAGACTTTTATAGTCTATGGCTAGACGCCCATAATGCTAAACGGGAGCAAATGTTAATAGGGGACCTAATTATCCCAGTGGTGGCCGCCGGAGCTAACGGAGCCGCAGTGGGCTAGCTCCAGCCGGCGTCCCGGAGCTAGCCCACTGCGGCTCCGTTACTATCTTACAATCAATATAGTAAATGTAAGGTAAAGTGTGTCGCCAATGTAACCGGTTAGAACTCGAAGTTGCGATGAGGTCTTAAAATGTATGGAAAGGATCTTAAAGGTATTCAATTTGACTTCAGGATTCCTGCATATACCCTGCAGTTTCTCATCAGACAATATGAAAGCTTTATTTCAAGGGCGGTGGTGGCGAAGTCCATAGGGACTTGACAACTGGAAGGTCACCAGTTCAAGTCCCGGAAAGACCAAGTGCTACCGAGGTGTCCCTGAGCAAGGCACCGTTCCCTACACTGGGCGCCGTACATAATGGTAGCCCACTGCTCCTAAAACTAGAATGGGTCAAATGCAGAGAAACCGTTTCGTTGCATAGTACCTGTACTACGTAATGACAATAAGTTCAATCTTCTTCAATCTTATTCTGTGTTTGTGGACTGATGTTGTTTATTTCTTCTCATCATAAGTCAACATGAATCCACACTTACACTTCCTCAGACCTGGTTTTAACCACTTCTCTCCACCATGGTCCACTCTGGAGAAAGAAACACAGTCAGGATGACTTTCTAATGCATTATAAATCATATAGGTGTGAGAACAGGTGTTCTCGTGTGTTGCACTAAAGTTCAGATATTTCCCTGAACAACAGAGGTTTGATCCTACTGGTGGTTCTGGAATAAAAATCAAATGGTCACTATGAATGTCAAAAACAGAAGGACCGAAGTAGAGAACCAACACATCCCTGATAAATAATGAGAATGATTTTACTTCCTCAATTTGAATGTTACTTATAAATGTTTCCATTCAATAAGATTTTAAGGGATCAGTGTATTCTTACTCAGGCTTTAAAACTTCTCTGAACAGAATTAAGAGAAACAAGAAGTTCTTCATGCTGTCTGTCTCTCCATACCTGAGAGTCTCCAGTCTCCAGTCTGGATCCTCCAGTAGAACAGACAGCATATTCTCTCCTGAGTCTCCTGGATGATTGTAGCTCAGGTCCAGCTCTCTCAGATGGGAGGGGTTGGAGCTCAGAGCCGAGGTCAGAGAAGCACAGCCTTTGTTTGTGACCAGACAGCCTGAGAGCCTACACACACACACACAGCGTTAAATTAAGCAAATAAAAGCTTACGGGGTAAACTTTAAATACTGACCTGAGAGTCTCCAGCTCACAGTGTGGACTCTTCAGTCCAGCAGACAGCAGATCCACTCCTGAATCCTGCAGGTCGTTGTTACTCAGGTCCAGCTCTCTCAGTCTAGAGGACTGGGAGCTGAGGAGTGAGGACAGAGGTGCACAGCTTCTCTCTGACAGCTTACAGCCACTCAGCCTGAAGGATTAATTAAAAAGATAAACAAATAAAGTATTATTTCTCCTCCATGACACATAAACACATTTGATAATGTTTGTATTCCATTCATCCTTCCACCTACATGGCTTTCCTGGAGGCTTTGACCACTGGCAGCAGCCTCAGAAGAGCCTCCTCTGAAGCAGAGTATTTCTTCAGGTCAAACACGTCCAGATCTTCTTCTGATGACAGTAAGATGAAGACCAGAGCTGACCACTGAGCAGGAGAGAGTTTATCTGTGGAGAGACTTCCTGATCTCAGGGACTGTTGGATCTGCTCCACTAGAGAACGATCATTCAGTTCATTCAGACAGTGGAACAGGTTGATGCTTCTCTCTGGAGACAGATTCTCATCCATCTTATTCTTGATGTACTGGACTGTTTCCTGATTGGTCTCTGAGCCACTTCCTGTCTTTGACAGCAGGCCTTGTAGGAGTTTCTGATTGGTCTCTAGTGAAAGACCCAGGAGGAAGCGGAGGAACAAGTCCAGGTGTCCGTTTGGACTCTGTAAGGACTGGTCCACAGCACTCTGGTAGAGATGTGTTAGTGTAGGTTTGGGTCTGCAGACTTTAGGCAGCCAGGCGGTTGTTGGTTCTTCTGCCAGCAGGTTGACTCCAGAGGTGTTGAAGGTCAGATGGACATGAAGAGCAGCCAGAAACTCCTGAACGTTCAGATGGACGAAGCAGAACACCGGGTCCTGGTACAGTCCTCTCTCCTCTCTAAAGACCTGTGTGAACACTCCTGAGTACACTGAGGCTGCTGTGATATCGATGCCACACTCTGTCAGGTCAGACTCATAGAAGATCAGGTTGCCTTTCTGCAGCTGCTCAAAAGCCAGTTTCCCCAGAGACCCCATCATCTTCCTGCTCTCTGGACTCCAGTGTGCATCTGTCTCAGCTCCTCCATCAAACTTGATGATCTTCACTTTGGACTGAACCACCAGGAAGTGGCTGTACATCTCAGTCAGGGTCTTGGGCAGCTCTCCTCCCTCTCTGGTTTTCAACACCTCCTCCAGAACTGAAGCAGAGATCCAGCAGAAGAGTGGGATGTGGCACATGATGTGGAGGCTTCGTGAGGTCTTGATGTGGGAGATGATGGTGCCGGCCTGCTCCTGATCTCTGAATCTCTTCCTGAAGTACTCCTCCTTCTGTGGGTCAGTGAACCCTCGGACCTCTGTCACCATGTCCACACACTCAGGAGGGATCTGATTGGCTGCTGCAGGTCGTGTGGTTATCCAGAGGCGAGCAGAGGGAAGCAGCTTCCCCCTGATGAGGTTTGTCAGCAGCACATCCACTGAGGTGGACTCTGTGACATCAGTCAGGATCTCAGTGTTGAGGAAGTCCAGAGGAAGTCGACTCTCATCCAGACCGTCAAAGATGAACACGACCGGGAACTGATCGAACCTGCAGATTCCTGCGTCTCTGGTTTCAGAGAAGAAGTGATGAACAAGTTCCACCAAGCTGTACTTGTTCTCTCTCACCACGTTCAGCTCTCTGAAGGTGAATGGAAATATGAACTGGATGTCCTGGTTGGCTTTGCCTTCAGCCCAGTCCAGAGTGAACTTCTGTGTTAAGACTGTTTTCCCAATGCCAGCCACTCCCTTTGTCAGCACTGCTCTGATTGGTGCATCTCTTCCAGGTGAGGCTTTAAAGAGGTCTTCTTGTCTGATGGTTGTTTCTGGTCTGTGTGGTTTCCTGGATGCTGTTTCAATCTGTCTGACCTCATGTTCAGCATTGACCTCTGCAGACCCCCCCTCTGTGATGTAGAGCTCTGTGTAGATCTGGTTCAGAAGGGTTGGGTTTCCTGCTTTAGCGATGCCCTCAAACACACACTGGAACCTCTCCTTCAGGGTGGATTTGAGTTTACGTCGACAGACTGCAGCAGCAGTTCCTGAATGGACAAACAAGAAATTAAATTAAAAAGTAAGTAAGATGCTACAGTGAGTAACTTTCTTCAGCACATAAAGTGACTACCGACGGAGTATCTTAAAGATCTCCTATCATGCTATTTTTAGGCATATATTATGGGTCTCAGATATATACAAATATATAAAAAATCATGTCTATTATGTGTTTTGCTCAAAATACCAAACAGATCCTGCATTTTAGACATTACATTTAGCTGACGCTTTTATCCAAAGCGACTTACAATAAGTACATTCGACCAAGAAGACACAACCTTGAAGAAAACAGAATCATATAAGTACATCAGGTTTCATAGAGCCAAACATTTCAAGTGCTACTCAACTGGCTTTAGGTAAGCCAGTCCTTTATTAGTATATAAGTGCTTTGTTAGTAATTATATCGCTCGAAGTGGAGTCGAAAGAGATGAGTTTTCAGTTTGCGCCGGAAGATGTGCAAGCCATCTGCTGTCCTGATTTCAAAGGGGAGCTCATGCCACCATCTTGGAGCCAGGATAGCAAACCCACGTGTTTTTGCCGATGGGAACTTGGGTCCCCCTCGCAGCGAGGGTGTAGCGAGTCGTTTGGCTGATTCAGAGCGTAGTGCACGTGCTGGGGTGTACGGTTTAACCATGTCCTGGATGTAGGAAGGGCCAGATCCATTCGCAGCATGGTAAGCAAGTACCAGTGTCTTGAAGTGGATTCTAGCAGTTACCGGAAGCCAGTGAAGGGAGCGGAGGAGCGGAGTGGTGTGGGAGAATTTAGGAAGGTTGAAGACCAGACGAGCCGCTGCATTCTGGATGAGCTGCAGAGGTCGGATGGCACATGCAGGTAGACCAGCCAGGAGGGAGTTGCAGTAGTCTAGGCATGAGATGACGAGAGCCTGGACCAGAACCTGAGTCGCTTTCTGAGTCAGCTGGGGACGTATCTTCCTGATGTTGTAAAGCGTGTATCTGCAGCAGCGGGTTGTAGCAGCGATGTTTGCAGTGAAGGACAGGTTGTTATCTAGGGTCACACCCAGATTCCTTGCAGTCTGAGTCGGGGAAACAACTGAAGTGCCGATGTTGATAGTCAGGTCAAGAGTGGGACAATCTTTTCCCGGAAGGAAGAGCAGTTCAGTCTTGTCAAGGTTGAGCTTGAGGTGATGAGCAGACATCCACTGAGAGATGTCAGCTAGACAAGCAGAGATGCGTGCGACGACCTGGGTCTCTGAGCGGGGAAAGGACAGAATTAATTGGGTGTCGTCAGCGTAGCAGTGGTATGAAAAACCATGCGGGCTAATGACTGATCCGAGCGAGTTTGTGTACAGGGAGAAGAGGAGGGGACCAAGAACAGAGCCCTGATGGACCCCTGTAGTTAATTGACAAGGGTCGGACTCGGACCCTCTCCAAGTCACCCTGTAGGTACGGTCTTTGAGGTATGAGGTGAGGAGGGAAAGTGCAGAGCCTGAAACTCCAAGTTTTTGGAGAGTGCGAAGGAGGATCTGATGATTCACCGTGTCGAATGCAGCAGACAGGTCCAACAGGATGATGACAGAGGAGAGGGATGCTGCTTTGGCAGTGTGCAGTTCCTCAGTGACAGCAATGAGAGCAGTTTCTGTGGAGTGACCTGCCTTGAAACCAGACTGGTGTGGATCCAGAAGGTTGTTCTGATTGAGATAACAGGAGAGTTGTTTAAAGACAGCGCGTTCAAGTGTTTTAGACAGGAACGGGAGGAGAGAGACAGGCCTGTATTTTATAACATCAGACGGGTTGAGAGTGGGTTTCTTTAGGAGAGGGTTTACTCTTGCCTCCTTGAGACTGTTTGGAAAGTGACCAGAAGTTAGAGAAGTGTTGATGAAATGGGTGAGAAACGGTAGAATATCAGGAGCGATAGTCTGAAGGAGGTTTGAAGGGATAGGGTCCAGAGGACAGGTGGTAGGGCGGGCAGAGGTAATGAGGGTAAGAACCTCACATGGAGAGAGAGGGGAAAAGGAGGTTAGTGTGTTGGTGGAAGGAAGGTCTGGTGACCCAGCGGTGAGTAAAGGTGAGTCAGAAAAAGAAGAGCGAATATCATCAACCTTTTTTTCAAAGTGGTTAACAAAGTCGCTTGACAGAAGTGAGGAGGGGGAAGGGGCTTTGGGAGGGTCCAGGAGGGAGGATGGGGAAGGGGCTTTGGGGGGGGTCCAGGAGGGAGGAGGGGGAAGGGGCTTTGGGGGGGTCCAGGAGGGAGGAGGGGGAAGGGGCTTTTGGAGGGTCCAAGAGGGTGGAGAAGATAGAAAATATTTTTTTGGGATTGGAATAGGAAGATTGGATCTTATCTTTGAAGAAAGTGCTTTTTGCCTGAGAGATCGAAGCAGAGAAAGAGGAGAGGAGAGCCTGATAGGTTAGGAGGTCGTCACAGTGTTTGGATTTCCACCGTTTCCGCTCTGCTGCCCTAAGGATGGTTCTATTAGCACGCAGTGCGTCATTTAGCCAGGGAGCAGGAGGGGACTGACGAGCCTGCCGAGATGTGAGAGGACAGAGCGAGTCCAGAGAGGATGAGAGAGTAGAGAGGAGAGTTTCTGCAGCAGAGTTTGGAGGCAGAAGTTGGAACAAGCATCCCTCATATCCCTCTATTTAAGCCCTGTAAAGGCCCTGACACACCAGGCCGAAATCGGCCGTTTTCGTTAGTCGGACGATGAAGCGTGTCGGCCAAATAAATCACTCTGTGTGGCTGTTCAGCTAGCGAATCAGAGCATGAGAAGTGAAACGGTTGCTTGAGAATGTCTTCCACAAGCAACACTCCAATGGCTGATAGCTCCAGTGCCGCACGAAACATGTTTTCGATTGACGAGATTGAAAATGGAACGCACACGCTATTTGTTGTTTGTTTAGATCACGCAGTCTGTTCTTCTTCTCTGTCTTCTGGTTGTTGCCTCTTTTGAATGACGAATACATACTACCGCCACCTGCTGGTAAGGAGAGTTATTGCCACTCATGCATGCGCAGTTCTTACGTGCTCGGCTGAAGTCTTTGCGGTGTGTTCAAGTGCGACACATGGCCAAGACGCAGGAGAACTCGCCGACGCAACAGTCGGCGAGTTCTCTGGTGACTGCTTGGTGTGTCAGGGCCTTTAGACAATGGCTGATTATCTGATATAGCTACTGGCCCCGCCCCCTTTGGAGCACAGCTGCAGAGATAAAGGCTGATAACTCTGCAGATTCTCAGCTAAATGCTGCCGTGATTAAACATCATATCATGTTCCAAACCACATCAAGGATTATAACAGAAACAGTATTGAGCTCAAACTATTTTTCTCTCTCAGGTTTACCACAAGGTGAGTTCCTTTTTTTATTTCCTGCTTTTTTACACATACTCTCTCCAGTACTGTGTTAGCTCTGAGTGTTAGCGATGCTAATGTAAACAAAGACCTAGGTCCTTGTTATAGAGTGTTGCAGTGATGACATATTTGTGTAACCTGACCCTGAATAAGCTGCTGGTTCCCTTGACAAAAAGCAATGGGATTTCTCCACTGGATTTTGGAATATTGTAAACATTAACCTGTTTGATGCACGTTTTGTTCAGCCGGATAATCTCCACATGTACCTACTTTTATAATTTTCAAATCATAAATCTAATGTCCAGAAGCAAAATGCTAACGTTATGCTATAAAGGAACTACAGCCGAGTCCAGCAGCACGACTTCAACGTCACGCCAACTTCAGATCCATATTCAAACACACAGATTCTAAATGGAATGAGTTGAAGCATTTGTTTGAACACTTTGCAGGAGGCAGGGACTTGCTTTCAAGCAGAATAGAAACTAACTTAGAGGAGTGTTCACGTGTTCGCCGTAATGACGTACAACGTCCTCCTCATCGTCTGTAGTCCTATTCAGCCACTTGGTAATAACCATCGTTTTTCAGACACGTCAACTCTTCAGAAATCTCCAGTGGGGTCACTGCTGATGATTTAATGTCGTAGAACAAAACGTGATCCGTCTCTTCAATGTGTCTCAACCACAGACCTTAGTTCAGCTACTTTCCAAAAACATGTTAAAAAAAACTGTGTAAAAAAACGCTAACCCACTTCCGGGTTTTAGGACTCATCACTGCACCACTCTATAAGGTCTGTGCTTAACACAAACTCACCATGCCCACTTCCTCAAAGTACAACTATGACAGCTCCACCCGCACATGTACCGAATCAGACATTACGAAGGCATTGTGCTCTGGAGCTGGCAGCGTGAAGTCTTTCTGATGTCTGGTCCGTATGATTGGAACATTTGCTTTCTCAACATACATATACAGCTCTGTCCGCTATCTCAAAGTCCTGTGTGACTTCAGGAAACCGGCGCTTTACACCACACTGAAAGATTGGGTGCAGAATGTACTCATGGATCTGGCACCACTACATGTTTTTAAAGCTCGGTTGGATGCTACACAATCAGATGCTGTTGGTACCTGTACATGTGGATAGATATGTAAATTGTAATCCCTGTAAATGTTGCTGTATGATGTCCTTTTGTTGTTCTGTTGTTTATGTTTTTATGTCTTCTTGTGGAACCTACTGCTGCAGGTCTCCCTTGAAAAAGAGATCATTGATCTCAATGGGATTTTACCTGGATAAATAAAGGTTTTGAATTGAATGGTAGAATCAGTGTCAACAAAAAACATAAAGTTTGGTGAAGTGATTCATTTGCGCTATTTTTTTAGCCCGCTAATGTTTGGAGATTAATCGGGAACATTAACAAGTTTCATATCATCATAGTTAACTGTTCAGCTCCGTTTATTAGTAATGTACCCAGAACAAAAATATTAAGAGCGCAACATGTTGTTGCTTCCTTAATTAATGTTTTAGTACCAGTAGAAACCAATAAGCGTATGCACTGATTAAAGACAAAGTTTTATAAAGTGAAACTCCTCCCATCTTCCCTCTCCATCGTGTTCAATGTGTTAAACCCTCTTACTGCTCTGCAGACGGTCAGCCAGCTCCTCCTGCTTCATGCTCCTCAGGAAGTGCAGTGAGATGTTCAGAAAGGCCTCTCTGCTCCTCCTCTGCTCTTCATCCTCAACGTCCAACACCTCCTCATCCTCACCGTCCAACACCTCCTCATCCTCCCTCTGACTCTCTAAGCATTCTGGGTCATCTGAACTCAGGACTGTCTGGATCTTCTTCAGCTCGCTCTTCACAAAAGTAACGATGTTCTCCTCCAGCAGCTGGAACAGAATCAAATGTAAACTTTAACTGTTAGTCAACATCAGATCGTGAACCTGCCTTACACTTGCAGTTTATGTCTCACAGCTACACTGACGTTTGTTCCTACCCGTAGAAAATATCTTCTCTCGAGTGTTCAGCGATTTAATGTTTGCATTGTGTTCACAAGAACAACAAATACAATGCCTGGTAAAGTAATAATATAATCCAGCATGAACACACACACACTCAGATGCTGATGTGTGTGGCTCATTCTCACAAAGCAATCAAGTTACACAATTCATGATAAAGACGTGATCCTTAATGATTGATTTCTGGTTGGGGGGGGGGCTCTGGGTCCTACGGCCCGTGGTGTGGCTGGCTCGGGTTCCCTCCTTCTGTTTGTTCCTTTTGGCCAGTCCTCCAGACCTCTTGTTGTTTCCCGTTTCACTAGGCCACCAGGGTGGGTGGAGGGGGTCAGGAGGACGGGACTGAGCTGACCGCCCAGGGGCACAGCAGAGGACCAGGAAGGGATCTCGGGCGGACGGTTCAAGGCAGAGTTCAAAAAGGGGGATTCGGGCGGACGGCCCGGGGGCAAGGCAGAGTCTAAGGTGGGGGACTTGGGCGGCCGAGCATGAGGGCGAAGGCAGCGGCAGGAAGAGTCAGGCGGCCGGGCTCGAGGACGAGGGCAGCGGCAGGAAGAGTCAGGGGGCCGGGATCGCGGGTGAAGACCGCGGCTCTCAGGCGGCCGGGTTCGAGGGTGAAGACCAGACAGCTCCGGAGGCCGGGCAGGAAAGCGCTGACGGGACAGCTCCGGAGGCCGGGCAGGACCCGGTGTCGGCCGGACAGGAACCGGAGCCGGTGGGACAGGCTTTGGCAGGATCCCCCACGGAAGAGGACCAGGAGTTGGCAGGACCCCCAGCGAGACATGTGATGTCGAGGCCTCCAACGAAACAGGACATGGGGTTGGCAGGACCCCCGATAGAAGAGTAGTCGGCCGGGCCTCCAACGGGACAGGACATAGGATTGGCAGGACCCTCGGCAGGAGAGTAGACGGCGCGACCTCCAACGAGACAGGACAAAGGGTTGGCAGGACCCCCGGCAGGAGAGTAGTCGGCAGGGCCTCCAACGGGACAGGACATAGGGTTGGCAGGACCCCCGGCAGGAGAGTAGTCAGCGGGGCCTCCAACGGCAGAGGACATAGGATTGGCAGGACCCCCGGCAGGAGAGTAGACGGCGGGACCTCCAACGAGACAGGACAAAGGGTTGGCAGGACCCCCGGCAGGAGAGTAGTCGGCAGGGCCTCCAACGGAACAGGACACAGGGGTGGCAGGACCCCCGGCAGGAGAGTAGTCGGCGGGGCCTCCAACGGCACAGGACACAGGGTTGGCAGGACCCCCGGCAGGAGAGTAGTCGGCGGGGCCTCCAACGGCACAGGACATAGGATTGGCAGGACCCCCGGCAGGAGAGTAGACGGCGGGACCTCCAACGAGACAGGACAAAGGGTTGGCAGGACCCCCGGCAGGAGAGTAGACGGCGGGACCTCCAACGGGACAGGACAAAGGGTTGGCAGGACCCCCGGCAGGAGAGTAGACAGCGGGACCTCCAACGGGACAGGACAAAGGGTTGGCAGGACCACCAGCGGAACCTCCAACGGTACTTGAGTAGGGACTTGAGTGGGAACTCGAGAGAGGGCTTGAGAGGGGACTCGAGAGAGAACTCAAGAGGTGACTGGAGAGGGGACTGGAGAGGGAACTCGAGAGGAGACTCGAGAGATTACTTGAGAGGGAACTTGAACGGAGACTTGAGAGGGGACTCGAGAGGAGACTTGAGAGTTGACTTGAGAGTTGACTTGAGAGGTATCTCGAAAGGGGACTCGAGAGGTAGCTCGAGAGGAGACTTGAGAGGGGACTCGAGAAGGGACTATAGGTGGGACTCGAGGTGGGACTCGAGGTGGGACTAGAGATGGGACTAGAGAAGGGACTAGAGAAGGGACTTGGGAAGGGACTAGAGAAGGGACCAGAGGAGGGACTAGAGAAGGGACTAGAGTTGGTACTTGAGAAGTGACTAGAGAAGTGACTAGAGGTGGGACTGGAGAAGGGTCTAGAGAAGGGTCTAGAGAAGGGTCTAGGAAAGTGACCTGAGGAGGGACTAGGGAAGGGACTAGAGAAGGGACTAGAGGGGGGACCAGAGAAGGGACTTTGGCAGCTGGGGCCAGAACTAGGTCTGGAACCATGGCTGCTTGGGCCAGAAATGGGTCTGGAACCATGGCTGCTGGGGCCAGAACTGGGTCTGGAACCATGGCTGCTGGGGCCGGGACTGGGGCCGGAACCATGGCTGCTGGGGCCAGAACTGGGGCCGGGACCATGGCTGCTGGGGCCAGAACTGGGGCCGGGACCATGGCCGGAAACATGGCCGCTGGGGCCGGAACTGGGGCCGGAATCATGGCTGCTGGGGCCAGAACTGGGGCTGAAACCATGGCTGCTGGGGCCTGTACTGGGGCTGTAACCATGGCTGCTGGGGGCTGAACTGGTTCTGGAACCATGGCCTTTTGGGCTTGTGCTGCTAACCTGGCCTTGCGACTCCTCTTAGGAGCCATTTGGAGGCTCCGTGGACCTCCAAAGGCCAGACGAGTACCAGCGAATGGCTCCTGGACTGTAGCAAACACTGGGTGAGAAGCAGGGGCTGACGCCAGACGGACCACACCGATGCGTGTGGTATCAAAAAGGGAATCTGGAGACCTGGGTCTATCAGGATCGGGAAAACAAACCGTGAGGTAATCCAAAAGCCAGGCCGGTAAGAATTTAACCAAATCTTGATACCTCAGCGTAAGGTGGACTGCATCTGCCAGAGCTGCTGAACCCTGACCGCTCCTATCCATCGATGAGCGCAGTCAGACAAAGAAAAGGTATAATCCACTAGTTCCTGCTCAAACGGATCTGCTGGGCCCATATCGTTGGTCGGTTCGTAAAGTTACGGTGTGTGAAGTAGTGATGTTACGTATTGCGCCGAGGCTTCGGAGCGTGTGTCGAGTAATCCCCGAAGCTTTTTGTGAAGCATGTATCGAGGCTTGTATCGTTTTGTGCCAGTGACGTCATCGATGACAAACGAAGCCTCGCTGCCTGTCGATACCACGTGACTGCTTCAGGAAGCCATTCAGATCGGTTGAACCGTTGAACCACAACGCTCATAATACCAATGGATGTATAATAAGAACCATATTACCCCTCCTGTACCCGGGCCCGGTGACACGATGGAATCAAGAGAGCTCAGACCCTCACCTATAGCCTATAGAGGTCGGAACATGTCATAACGTATAAATAGAAACAAGCATAAATAAATGTAGGAATAAAAACATGAATAAATACAGAAATAAATACAGGAATAAATATGTTCCAGTGTTTTCAGGGAGCTGTAGTGTGTGTGCTGTGGCTCAGCTGGAAAGCAGTTGACTCACGACCGCAGGGTCTCTGGTTCAACGACTGAACAATACGTATTTTTTGTTGTTTATAAAAGCTACAGCTAAATGAGACAATGTAGTTAATAAATGTATTCTTTGATATGGTTTAGCCTTTCTCAGGCTACAACATGGTTAAGTTTATGAAGGAATGCAAATCCCTCTTTGCAATCTTTACCAGCCTCCTTAGGCTTTTCAATCACAATCATTCAACTGGAATAAAAACAATATTGTTAACATGAAAATAGGATTTAATGTTCGTTGTTTAGAGTTATTCTAAGGCTTTACTCATTGGGAACTCGGTATGAGATAGAGCACACTGTTGAGATGTCCAATCTGCCTGTTTTACACACTATGACCAACAGGGGGTTTGTGTTCAAATGAAGCCCATGATGAAGCCTCATGAGATGAACCCTTTTGCGAACCAATTGGCTGGAAAGCTTCATAAGGCTTCATCTCACCATCACTAGTGTGAAGCAGGCAGGACCCAAATGCAGATACAAACTGAAAAACTCCTTTATTTCAAGGCTAGGCGCAGATAAACAAAGACAAAACAGAACACTCACAGAAGAAGTAGTGATGACACAAGACGAACCGACAAAGGCAGACAGAAAAACCCAGAACTTAAATACACACAAGACTAATCACAGAAACAAGACACAGGTGAGGAGGGAGGAGAAAACACAGGGACACCAGGTGAACACAATCGGGTAAATTAGAAACACCAGGGAAACTAACGACAGGGAACCACAGACAGATTTAAACAAGACACAACGCAGACAGAAACAGGCAAGACAGGAAGTGAAGACCTTTCAACATAAAACGAAAGACAGAAAAAGACAAGACAAAATACAATACAGACAGATCGTGACAGCTGTGTTCTCCTTGTGGTTCAGGTCTTTGCTTCAAGAACTCCTTTACGATGTGCAGCAAATAAAATGCAGCTGAGAATGATGTAGAAATTCTAAAGTTTTAAAAGCGAACAACAAAAATAACTTGAATTCATACCTTGGTCCATCGCTATGCTCTCCATTTCCAAACATAATAGGTCGAGGCATAGACCAGTCACTCTTCATGGACACACAGCTGGGTCCAGGAGAGTCTGGTCTCTCATGGGGGATCCTCATAGAAACACAATCACTGATGAATATTCAGAAGATACAACTTTATTGATAATTATGTTGAATTTCAAGCGTTTTAATAAAGAAAAGAAAAATGACTTTTGCTTTAAATTCTTACTCTAGAATATCATCATGCTCTCCATCTTTAAAGTCAATAGGTCGAGGCATAGAATTGTCACTCTTCATGGACACACAGCTGGGTCCAGGTCCAGGTCCTGGTCCAGGAGGGTCTGGTCCAGGAGGGTCTGGTCTCTCACGGTGGATCCTGATAGAATCAAAAACATGATGAATGCAAAGGTGCACTGACACTCTGCTGAACATGATGCTGACTTTTGAACATGTTAATCCTGATAAGATGAATAATAACTTTGGATCAGTGGTTTCCATCTTGCAGGTTGGCAGGCTCAAACGTCCTCTG